GGGCAAGCAGGAGGACCTCTGGTCAAATATACCCACTTTTAGAGGAGGAAACTGAGGTCATAGAGGACCAGTAACAGAGCCGATGGGACTCTATTTTTTTTTTTTTCTGTCTTGCTCCAATACGTAACAAGTTCTCCTAGCACAGGGACTTCAGTCTTCCTCACTAATTTTCTGGGGGTCTGCCTGCTCAGGAGAGGTAGCAAAGTCCTTAAACCACAGGCTCCAGGCCTGTGGAAGGAAAAGGGGACCCTGGGTAGGATCTTAGGAGGGTAAGACAAAAGAATGTGCTAGCTTCTTGGACCTTTTCCCCCATTCTTCTCTTACCCCCCTCACCTCGCTGACCCTGTTCCCTAAGAAGGTAGCTCTGCCATGGTAACCCCGAAGAGAGAGACAGAAAGAGAGAGAGAGGGCTCCTCCATGGGGGAAGGCATACTCCATGAACAGTAACATTAATGATAGTAAACATAACAGATATCATTAAACGTCAACTCTACCAGGCGCGTCCTTTGCATGAAAGTATTATTTCCTGCTGATAATTTCATTCTCATTTTATAACTGACAAAATGAGATCTGAGAGATTTAATAGCTTGGGCAGGTCATGGTAGGGGAGGGAAGGTGGGTGAGATGAAGCCGGGAACTCTGGTTTCCAGGTTAGGGCTTGTGGAGTCAAGGTAGAAGGGCTGGCCTGTAGACAAAGAGCTGGGGATGGGGGAGTAATGCTGAGAGCTGCACCGTGTGACGATAACAGGCTGATCATGGGTTCCATCAAGTGCTCAACTTGCTGTGTAACCTAGGGCAAGTTATTGACCTCTCTGAGTGGTTGGATGTTCCCTAATATCACCTCTCATTCTTTTATTATAGGGCTCTGTGATTTGGGAAGTGGCAGGTCACTTCTGGGAAAGATATAAAAGGCACAGTTTCCCTCTTTGGGGCCACCTGCTTGAATTCAGTCCTAGGGTCACCATGAGGCATAGCTAGCCACAGGAGGCTGGGTTCAGCGGGAGGTCGGGCTCAGAGCCAGAGAGCAACCGCACAGGCTTCCTGCCTGGGCTCCATCAACAGATCTATCACCTGGGCTCTTGTTGCCTTAAAGCCAGAAAAATTCCCAGGCCTGCTGTGAGAGAACCAGCACCTGTGAACCCCACATGGCCTCGGGGACAACCAGGTGCCAGGCAGAGATCTGTCTGTTGGGTCATTAGGCAATGAGAGAACGGCAGGCTGGCAACATGAGACTCCCTTCTTCTGGGACGCCCGGTGGGGGACGAACCAGCTTGGATATCTTGGTGCCTTGTCATCCATGGATCTGGGCTGGGTTTGAGATGGAGAAAGAAACAACCAGCAAGAGTCATGGGTCTGTTGAGTCTGTCCAGGTGCTATGCTCCTAAGCTCTGAGGCCATGGGCGAGCGGCTGACTTACAGTCTTCTGTGGCTTAGCTGAAGAGTGGGGGTAATAAGGTCAGCTTTGGAGGACTGGCAGAACTTAACAAGCGAATACAAATGAAGTGTTCGGATAGAGCCTGCCGGAGCGTAGATAATAAAGGGAAGCTGCCATTGCTATTGTGGCTACTGTGGGAATAGAAATAGCAGGATGGAGTTCAGTGGTAGAATGCTTGCCTAGCATGCAGGAGGTCCCCCAGTATCGCAAAAGAAACATATAGAACTAAACAAGTAATAACAGGTAAAGATGCACCCGAGGACCTGGGAGTTAGATTTTGTACCCCCTCTGTGTGACTCCTGGTCTCCTTCCCGCCCCTGCCTTCTCTGTAGGAGGAGGTGATGGTGCCAGCTGATCCCCAGGCCCCTTCCTCCTCTGACAGCTTTAGGCTATGAATAGAGGGGGCTGGGGCCTGGAGGAGTTTGATGACTCAACGGCTAGGGAGGGCGAGGTTTCCCGAGGAAAGAGTTTCCATTTGTGTCTGGTGAACTTGGGGAGCAGGGAAGGAAGGGTTCCCTAGCTGCGAGGCCAGGCGTGAGGGGGTGGGAGTGGAGAATGTGACTAACCAGGTGAATGACTAAGTTGGACCCTGCTGACCTTCAACCAATCAGGGCTGCTCGTGAGCATCCTGCAAGTTGGCATCACTGGGCACTTGGTAGCTCTGCCAGGCTGGGCCTGGGCTTCATAGCATATGGCGGCAAAGGAAGCAGCCAAGAGGCCAGCAGGGACACAGCCCTGGGTGTGGAATCAGAAGTGCCAGCTTCTTCTCAGTCCTCTGCCCATCAGCTTGGTGGCTCTGGGCAGGAGAGCCCTTCTCTTCCCTGACCTGTACCCACTGCTCAGAGTAACAGAGCTAAAAATCCCACACTGAGTTGTGAGGGCTGAGATCCAACCAAGTGATAACACCATTGTGGCCAATAGAGGCCGGCTCTGTCATTCATCCAGCCTTAGCCAGTAGGATTGGCTGCAGGATGTTCCCAGGGAGGCAATGGGTCAGGATCAGGCTAACAACATTCTCATACAGAGTCCCTTCCAGACATCTCATCACTATTCTAAGGACAGCTTCCAGCTAGGTGGCGGAACCAAAATGAGAGGTGACAAAAAAAAAACAAGCCAGGGATGGTTGGGTAGTGTAGGGAGTAGGCATTGCCAGTCTGATGGTGTCTTTCTTCTTGACCAGCACTGTATAAATACCAGCAGAAGGGTGTTAGGGTGCTAGTCCCAGTTTCAAGCATCTCTCTAAGTAAGAACCCTGGACAATTTGGAAAGCAACAACCCGGTTGGAGGGGAAGGGTAGCACCTGTCATTTCTGCACACATTAAACCCATCGATAGCATTCTCCAGTGCTTGCAGCTCTTGGGCACCTTGCTAGCCCTCAAAGTCAGAGAGATGTGCTTTGCCTATATTAACAAGGCATCGTGGTGAAAAAAGGCAAAACAAAACACACCCCTTAGGATGTAAATAAGCATTTAAAAGAGCCCATACTGGGTCACCTAGGTCATTTTACCAATAAGTGCTGCTGCAGTCTTCAAGGGCAGTGGCCCTGTGAGGTTTCCATGGGTGTGTGTGTGGGGGGGGGGGCAGGTTGAACTGGACCTAGAGAGCTAGATTAGATAGCAAAGGGAATGCAGAAGAAAAGGTGTTACTGGCTAGAAACATATTAAGTATCCTCTGAGGGTTAATGTGGAGGCCATAGAGAGAAGCCATCCAAATAAGAAGTAAGAAATAAAGTCAGGCATGGAGATGGAGGTAGGGCAAGGAGCATGGGAGTGGGTAGCCGTGTGGGCTTTGCTGAAGCAGGCTGGGACAGCTGAGCTTTGGGAGTTTTGTGTTTGTTTTTCCCTGGAAGCATTGTCCCAGGGATGTCATTTTACCGTGGGTATGAGGCTGGAAGCAAGGAGGTCAGCAGGGAGGTTAAGCTGAAGCAGGAAACCCGGGACTCAGAGGAAAGTTGCACTAACTGGGGAACTGGTGTGGGAAGACAGAGAGAGGCATACACAGGTCCGCTCTGATTTACAGACAGCTAACCTGCTGTAAAATCCTGGGCCAGTGGCAGCGGGATGTGGAGGGAAGGGGCCCTAGACCGAACCTGCTCTTTGGGTAGTGTCTGGGTGTTCCTCTCTCTGCAGTTGAAGAGCGCCCGAGCCTCAGAATGGAATTCTGCAGTGGGTAAGACAGTGTCCAGCTCTGTCTTTAACCCGCTTCCACTCCTGTTGACTCCCAGGAAAACACTGCCATCTTCTAATGGGTTTTGCCAAATGGCAATGAGCCCCTGGGAGTTCAGCCAAGGCAGGGGGTGGGGGTCAGGATGAGAAGGAGAGGGGAAGATGGAGGAACCAGCTCCTGGAGGCATCCCAGTGGCTTTGGGGGAAGGTGGGTTCCCAATCTTCAAGTCTAAGCACGTCGGGGCTGGGAAGAGCCCTTGACATCATTTTGGCCAACCTCTACGTGTTGGGACTTGAGCCCAAGATTCAGGCAGGAGAAGGGACTTGCCCAAGGTCGGTCATGGAGAGGGTTAGCCATGGATCTGGACTGTAAGCCCAGGGTCCTGGGGATGGTTAAGGTGTGTGATCCTGGCTGGGCGCTGACACCTCAACAGCTTGGTGAAGGGCCTGGCTGGAGATGCCTTTTCTGACAGACATCTATTTGTGTTCTCTCTCTCTCTCTCTCTCTCTCTCTCTCTCTCTCTCTCTGTGTGTGTGTGTGTGTGTGTGTGTACCTGTGTGTCATGTTCTCAGAGGATCTGGATGTGCGGGTAGCCTCCTACAGGGTGATCTGTCCTGGCCTTGGAAAAGAAGTGGAGCCATTCCTGTGGGGTGACTGTTTCTCTGGGACACCGGGAAGAAACCTAACAGGACCGAATCTGGCTTTCAGCCCCTACTCTGCTGCCCTCAGAGAATTACAGGCCCTGTCTGGTGCGGCCCAAACTCGTGGAGGTGGACACACTCACACACCCACACCCACACCCACACGAACACACGCACCCCACCCCCCTCCCCAGCAGCACTCAGTCGCGGGTAGAGAGTGGCCCGTGTGTCGCGGAGTGCAGCGTTCCGGCATCTACGTGCCTCCCCAAAGCCCAGCAGGTGTGGACACCGGGGTGCCTAAACCCAACGTCAGGGACACGGAGGAGTGGCACGCTGGGTTAACTCTAGGTGCCCAGCCCCAGGGCCTAGCCCGGCCACACCCCTCCTCCCGAGCCTCGGGCCGGCTGCTCCTGTCCCTCTCACACACTTGAGTCCTCTGGGGTCTTCGCACAGCCCGGCAGGGCCAAGTTAGGGCTAGCCGGGCTGGAGATAGGTCGGAGTCAGGGGTCCCCCAGCAAAGCAGACACGCCAGTTGAGCCCCGGCCGCTGGGAGCGCGCGGGTTCGGCGACCCGCCCAGCTCCGCAGGGACCCCCCAACCGCGGGCGGCTCCCCAGCATTCCCAGGTCCCCGCCCCCGTCCCCTCCGGCACGGCGGCGAGTGTAGTTACCGATGGTGGTGATGACGGTGATGGCGAAGTAAAAGGAACCGGCGAAGCGCCACTGCACGCCGGCCTTGTGCGGCTTGAGGCGCAGCACGACGCGCTCCAGCTCCTCGTAGCCGCCCTCGCTGAGGTTGTAGCGCGCCCGCAGCTCCAGCTGCCGCAGCTCCAGCCGCTGCCGCTCGATCATCTCCGGCTCCGACTCCAGCGCGTCGAATACCGCGGCGCCCACCAGCAGGTAGGTGAAGGTGCACACGATGAGCGCCAACGTGCGCACATTCTGCCGCTTCATCGTCCCTCCCGGGTTGTCGCCGGCCCCCCGGCGTCTCCGGCCCGCGCCCCGGCCCCGGCCGCCGCCGCTGCTGCTGCCCCGGAGGCGGCCTGGGGCATGGCTGCGCTCGCGGATCTCCACGCCGGGCACCAGCTCCGCACTCCGGGGCCGCCGCCGCCGCCGCCGCTGCCGGCCGCCGCGGAGCTGTCCCTTCAGCACCACCCACCGCCCTCCTCCGCCCGCCCCCGCGCCCGCCCCCAGGCGGCCAGCCGCCACCTCCCGCCTGCCCTCCCGCCCAGCCAAATAAGGACTGGGGAGCCGCGCCGAGGGCGGGGAGGGAAGGGGGAGCGAGCGGGAGAACCCGGGCAGGACAGAGGCGGGAGAGAGAGAGGGAGAACGAGAGAGGAGTGGGGGGGGGGGAGCAAGATAGGAGAGGGAGGGAGGAGAGGAGGGAGAGAGAGAGAGAGAGAGAGAGAGAGAGAGAGAGAGAGAGAGAGAGAGAGGAGACCGAGATCCAGCCCGCCAGCCCCAGAGAAAACTAGGCAGGAAAACAGATAACTACAGGGAAGGGAGAGGACTGAGGGCAGGGGTGTGTGTGGTGTGTGTGTGTGTGTGTGTGTGTGTGATGGAGGAGACAAACCAGAGGTCACACAGACACAGGAAAAGGGGGATCTGGCAGAAAAGATGCAAAGAGAGGGACAGACTGAGGCAGGGGAACTTGGAAAGCCAGAGGCACAAATGTCGTGAAAAGGAGCAGAAAGAGGAGAGAGAAGAGCGATGGAGAAATCGCCTTCCTCTACCCTTTGCCCCAGTTACGGTTCTGAGAATGGAGGGGACCTTGGGCGCTACTGGCCCACTCCTTAGCACATGGATGAGGAAACTGAGGCATAGGAGGTGAAGTGACACAGGGCACACTGGTGATAGGACTGGGGCTCAGTCAACCCCCTCCCCACCCAGGTCACAGTTCCTTCCCTGTGTTCCAGCCCCTGGCTTATCTTAACTGGCAAGATTTGCTGTGGCCCAGGGTACATGTGAGCCAAGACTCAAGGGGAAGCCTTCTCTCTTGACACAGAGTTCCTTCCCAGGTTAACACCAAGCACTGGTGACTGGCTGAGACCACCTGCCCCGTCTTGATTATCTATGGCTCTGGTCCTACCCCAGCATGACAGGCAGGACTTGGGCTGGGCGGCATAGAAAACACAGGGTACCATCTCAAGGCACAGAGGAGCAGGTGAGGATCCAGCTGAAATTGGGGCTGGGGGTGGGTGTCCAGACCTAATGACTCACTGACATTCTGGAGAAACTGGGACAGGGGTCCCTCTGCCTCTATTTATTCATTTGTCAACATGGCGGGGGGGGGGTCTGTGGAAATGAAGAGGGAACCCAACCAGCAGTGGGAACCTGGGCAAAGTGTTACTGCCCCACTTGGAGCCTCATGTCCTTATCTCTTCCATGAGTTGTCATGGCAGATGATCCCTGGGGCCTTACTCAGCTCCAAACAGCTCCGGACATGGATGGGCTGAGAGAGCAGAATGATTGGAATGCAAATCCCAGTGCCAAGGAGGGTCAAACAGCCCTTCACGGGACCCTGGCATAGGCCACATAGAGAGACATGGAAGAGGCCCAAACCCCGTGGCCGGGGAGGTAGCAAACAAGGGAGGGCACCATCTGCCACGTTCTGGACTGGGATGTCACTGCCAGACACCACTCTGTATCCAAAAGCCCTCAGAAGAGCTAACAGCCCGTTCATTCCACAAGGATGCATCCTTGTGTCTTTCGGAGTACGCCACACTCACAATCCTAAGCTTTACCTTGTCCCTCAAAAGTGGGTCTGCTTTTACGTAGGACTGTTTTATAGATGGGAAAACTGAGGCTGAAGGCAATGCAATCACTTAGGGTCACTGAGCTGAGAAGAGGCTTCCACCTCTTTGTTTCTCAAGTTCACACTCTTCTCCTTAAGTTCTTGAGTGTCGTTTCTTTTTCCTTCTCTAAAATGGGTTTGATCATCATGTACTAGTCTCCTGAGCAGTTAGCTTTAAGCAATCAAAGAAAACAATATGTGTGTGAGGAAGAACTTGAAGTTCTTTGGTGACCTTTACTCTCTTAAGACTCGGGTGTCTGGACCACAGACTGACAGAGAGGACCTTGAATTCAAAGCGCCCATGTCCCCTCTCGCATGAAGGAAGGGCTTCAACTCTTTGGTAAAACAAACTGTTTTCCCTTGGCCTTGGATGCAGCCTGTTGGGTATTTCTGTCCCTGGCATTCTTTGGCTGCAGGAAGAAAAGTCATGCCCTTCTCAGCTTCCCATGGGTGGGGTACAAATTCAGCTCAGTGTGCTCTTGATGTGCTGGTTTCCGGTCAAAATCACCCCAGAAACCAGTTCTGCCACAGCCTGCCTGAATGTGCAAGCTACTCCCTAGAGCCGGGCTTTGGAAGGAATGCTGTCCGGGTTTTCCCACTTCTGACTGCCAGCCTTCGACTGCTATACAAATGAAAGGCGATATTATTACGTGAAAAAGCGTCAGGACAGGGGAAAAGCCGTCTTTGGGGCAGAGCACTTATTATTAATTTTGATGGAGCTTGTTCTCACTGTGGCTCTTGAGAACTCGAAGGACTCTTAGAGACCATCTCGCTCAGCCTTCTTGTGTTCCAGATTAGGAAACAGAGGCTTGGGCAGTAAGGACAGTAGTGAAGGTCCTGCCGTGAGTAGGATGGCAGCTTGTGCGGCATCCATTATGGATGGGACCGACCACCTACATGTCATGCCCTGAGTTTCAGAGGACAGCTTGGGTCTGCCCATCCATCCTGTAGAGAGGATTGTAATGGAGGCACTTGCTGTCAACAGTCAAGGTTTTTGGTTAGCCCCTGGGACAGCGGGGATGACCTCATCCATCTTCTTCCTGGTGACCTGGGTTGGGCTGTACCAAAGACTTGACAGCATTGCTTGATTCCTTCTGTACAGGACCCTTGGACCTGTCCATGTCCACCCAAAGTCGACCCAAAGTCTGTCTGTGTTTACTGCAGCATGAGAGGTCAGCCACTCCCTTGCCTGCTCCTTGAGTTTTATATCCCTAAGTGGAGGGTTTGGACCAGAAAACGTCAACATGCCTTTCACTTATAACATCCCATGACCTTCCTGGCCTGATTGCATCTGTTTACTCGGGCCTCTTGAGAATTGGGCAAAAAGGGAATAGCCACTTCTTTGAAGACAAGTTTCTGAGGAAAGAGACAGCAACAAGGTTAGGGTAAATTGTTTGGACTTTGTCATTCCCTGTCATGCTTTATTGTGTACTAAACATTAGACAGAGTCATTTCCAGCTGAACATGCTACTCCATCCATCCGTAATCTCTGAACACATCTGTGTCCTCTCATGTTTCATGAGACTCCAAGGGCTCCAGGGCTCCCATCAGTTGGGATGCTGGTACCTCCTTGCCTCTTCCACCTTCTTATGCCATCCAGCATAAGCTTAGGCTTTAAGACCCAACCCAAAGGCTACTATCTCCATGAAACACTTCCCAGTCCCACGCCCATAAGAAAAACCAGCTACTTTGACAAGGGTCCTGTACTTTGTGCCTCTATGGACTTCTGAGCTTCAATTCCTCTTGCCAAGAAGATATCTGCACTGTGACTTCCCTATTGACTTGATATGTTTTCCTGGGTAGAGAACCTTTTACAGTACTGTTCTTCCCATAATGCTTTGTATATCAAAGACACACTACACATTTCCTTAGGTCCTTGGGACACAAGCCAAGACCCAGAACAGTCCTGTCTCTGCTGGATTTGCAGGCAGATTGAGTGATAAAGGGACTCAGACAGTAGAGTCTGGGACAGAAAAACCTCAGCATCCTGCTTCCATGCCTTCAGACAAGATGCTTCTCAAACTGGAGCAAGTCTTGCCAGGGAAGAGAAGGGCAAAGACAGGGTCAAGTGTCTGAAGGGCTAAGGAGCATGCTGCATAGCATGAGGCCTGGGTCATGATGCTAATGCTCCTGGGTGAACTGGGGGAAGCTTTGTGGCCTCTCCGCCTCAGTTTCTATTTCTGAGAAATAAAGCATTATCTGTGATCCAATGATGCTCTTGTTCACTTTACAATGATCAGGTATGTGAACCTGAGAGATGGAGGCACAGAGATGCTCCATTCCATTACTTCTGATCCCTGCTACATGGACAGTTAGGTTGGAGACCAAGGGAGGACCAGGGAGATAAGCAGTGGAGATGCTGACCTGGAGTCAGACAAACCTGGTTCAAGGCCTGACCCATCAGTTATGAGCTAGCACAGAGCCTTGGGGGAAGTTCTAGTTCATTTGTCTAGAGCAGATTATAAGTTAGAGCAGGATAGGGACAAGCCTTCCCCCAACTCTTTATAGGCGTGGGCTTTAGCTTTTTAGCACAACAGTCGAGACAGAGAAGGTACTTTGAAAACTTTCCTTGAGCCCTTCTTGCTGGCTCCAATCACCTGGGCGGGTTGGTGTGACCTGGGTTTCATAGAAGCAAGCAGAGGCAGGGGAAGGGGTCTAGAGTCATCTCAGTATCAGCCAGGGAAGGCCTGAGTAGTGAGGGGGCCAGGGTTCAGAACAAAGGCAGAAAAACAGGGATCGCTACTACAGGGTGCCGCACCAAAGTCATAGCCCTGGGTTGTGGGTGTGACTGAGGGGTTTCTTGGTGTATCTCTGGAGGCAGTGAAGTGGGGGATTAACTTGACTTTCCAGAGCATAACTGGTCCCACAGCAACGGCTTGCATTTGTCAAGAGCCACTGTTTGTTTAACATCTCAAGCCCAAGTCAAACACAAAAGGCAAGTGTTAGCAAAGCCGGGCTCTGTGGGCTGTTGGGGTGGAACTGGGCTGGGAAGCTGAACACCTGGCTCTCTCAGTCCTGCTCTAGCTGGGTTGTGTGGCCTAGGGAAAAAGGCTATCTCAATCTGGGATGATGAGGGCTCAGACTCAAAGGGTGCAAAATCCTAGCTCCTAGTCAGAGTGAGGACCAACTGGTCTCAGAAACCCTACCAGGGATCTCAGGCTTGCACCTGACCGCCATTTACATAAATATTAGGTCCTCACCCTAAACTTCCTGTCCCATGTCTGGTTGTCCCCATTCCCCCACTAGAGAGCCCTCCTTTCTCTGTCTGTGTGCTGCCTGCAGTGAGCATTCTCATCTGTGGGTGCTTCAGGGTATGCTGGGAGCTGTGGCTAGGACCCATACCCAGAAGTGGTCACACACAGTGTATCCACACACCCTCCCCAAGTGTTCCTAAATTCTGCTGCTTGTCCTCAGCAGGCTATCTTGGTTTCTCTTCTCCCTGGCAGTGTGGGAGCTTGCCCACTTCCTCCCCAGCTTTGCTATTACTCACTTTCTGATTGCAATGTCGTTTCCAGGCCTCCCTATTTTCTCCATAGCCTCCTCCTTTTCTCTCTTTTCCTTTCTTCTTTAGATCTTCTGCATCCTCACACTTGAAGCAGGGACAGAGGATGGACTCAGCCATTACTGTGATCTCAGGCAGACGACAACATGTAAGACCCAGAGAAAAACAGTGACTCTTCTCCAGCCTGCCATATGTGAGCATGAGCATGCATGTGTGCATGTGTGTGCAGGAGCTTGTGAGCCTTACTCTTTCAGTCTCTGTCCTGGTCCCCTCCCCATCCTCTATCTTCTAAGCCCTCACATTTTCCACTCTACCCATTCTCTTTCCTGTAATTAAATTACATAATCAAAGCCAGAGAAATGCTTAGATCTCTAGTACCTATGTAGAAACCGAGACTAGACAAGGGGCATGAATACCCTAAACACCTTAAAGCACACAGGGCCAGCTCTCCTGGCTGCCCTATCTATAACCACAAGATAAGTTTCTGTACTTACCACTTTCATTGCAAGAATCAAGTCCCCAGATTGTCTTCCGGAGAGATCCAAGAGTAGCCATGGCCCATCTTTCCGGACAAACACACAGCCGCTGAAGAAAAGAAAGGCCGGAGATGTCGTCAACAGCTCACAAATCTTGAAATCCTTCTTTGCAGGTTTATGGCTTCTGAGAAGCAGAGGCAGCCTGTTCTCAGCACCAAACACAATAATTATAATAGCAGTCGCAATGATTAATCAGCCAGTGTGTATTGAGTGGTGCTGGGCAGGCAGGGCGTTCGTGTGTGTGTGTGTGTGTGTGTGTGTGTGTGTGTGTGTGATGGCAAGGGAAGGCTGTGGGTGTCTTTCTCCTTAATGGAAGAGGTTGAAGTGCCATCATAGCCCATGTTGGAAGTGTCATGTTGAGGGGAATCTGGGACTGTCCAAGACCACAGTTGTTCTGGCTCAGACAGGATCCAGAGTTGTACAGGCCTATCCGCCGAGCTCCAGACTGCATTGGAAGCAAAGAATTGACAAACAAGAGCAGGTTCCAGGCCTGTCAACCAGATTAATGAGAGGCCTTTCCAGAATGATGTTCATGGCACAAGGGAGAGGACTTGGGATGTTCAGCCTAGAGAAAGATACAGGGGCCGTGTGAGCTGTCACCCCAGGAGGGATTAGCTTTGTCCTGTGGGGTCAAGAAGGGACCAGTGATCCGTGGAATAATGCAACCAACAATCAACACAGCATAAGATGGAGTGTTCTCCAGGCCTCCCAGGAAGGCACAGACTACCGGGCATGGTGATGCCCGTGTCAAGACCTCATGGTCAAGAGGGCATGTAAACATAGTCTAACTGATCATTTTAGAAGCATTCTTGGAGCTAGTATCATGCCTGGCACATAGTATGTCTATAAGAAATGAGTGTATTTGGTTCACGTGGGTTCAGTCTAACATTTCTGGAACAGTCTGTCTACGCCAGGCGCTTTCTCCTTCCAGCCTGGAATGCTGTAACTCCCTGGCTCCCAGCCTTCAGAAGGGTTGCTCTGGGCTTCTTGCTGCTGAATCTCCTCAGTGATGTTTTCTCTTGACTACCCCCAAACCAAAGCCCACCCACATCCACCCCACATGCTGCCACCTGCAGAGGTCCAACATGCAATATGCCCAGTAGCCCTGGGGCTTCAGCAAAGGAAATGGGCCTGTGGCAGGCTAATTACTGGGAGCTGATTCTATTAAGTAGATAGCTCGCTCCCAGCAAAGCAATTACACCTAATCAGCCCCTTGCAGCAGCCCAATGGGACAGCCGTGTGAGCCAGACACACGTGTGAGCAGGGACACCAAAGCAGCCGGGGAACAAGCCTGGCAGGATCTTCTGAAGCCAGGGATGCTCCCAAAGTGGTCTCAGGTTATCTTGAGGCCCAGGCACTGCAGCACTGTGTGTGTGTGTGTGTGTGTACTCAAAGCCCTGAGCCGAGACTGAGCTCTGTTACAGAGGAGCTGAATTTCACCCAAGGGAGCACATCTCAAACTTGTGCCTTACATCCCGCATGTGTCAAATGAACTGATCAGACTAGAGAGGGTCCATTCCAAGCCTGAACCTCTACTCCGTTAGATTCTCATCTAGATTAGAGCTTTTTGAAAGAAACCTGTTTGGTGAGTTAGACAGCTCAGTCAGTAAATCTCTTGCTTTGCAGGCACAAGGACATGAGTTCTAGCCCCACAACCTATATTAACAAAAACCAGGCAGGATAGTGCACGTTTGTAATCCCAGGGCTGGGGAGGTGGAGATAAATAGACTTTGGGCTTTACTGGCCAGCTAGTTTAGCCTACTGAGTGAGGTCCAAGCCAGTGAGAGACCCCGTCTCCACTTAGTGAGGTCCAGGCCAGTGAGAGACTTTTTCTCAAAACAAAAACAATAAACAAATGGACAGTGTTGTGAAAATGAATGACAATAAAAGATGTCCTCTGGCCTCTTTATGAGCATGGTGCATACAAGCACACACACACACACACACACACACACACACACACACACACACACTCTTTCTATTTCTCTCTCAAAATATTCAAACATGGGAATGCATATTCAGGATTCAGTTATTTAGGCTGTTTTAAGATTTTACTTACTTTTATCTTACGTGTGTGAGCTTTTGTCTGCATGTATGTGTGTATATACACCACATGTGTTTGTGCGTGATACAGAAGAAAGTGTTGGATCCAGAAGAATGTGTTGACATTTAAATGGCTGTGAACTGCAGTGTAGGTGCTGGGAACCAAACCTGGGTATTCTACAATAGCAGCATACGCTTTTAACTGCTGAGCCATTTATCCAGCCCTGTCAGACCAGGTTTTCCAAAAGAGATGTAATATTATATATTTAGAATATATAGATATTCTATTTGTATTCATATTTTTATCTAGAAATTTTATGAAATGAGTTTTCCCCAAAACACCCTTGATTTTTTTTTTTTTTGATTTTTCGAGACAGGGTTTCTCCGTAGCTTTTGGTTCCTGTCCTGGAACTAGCTCTTGTAGACCAGGCTGGCCTCGAACTCACAGAGATCCGCCTGCCTCTGCCTCCCGAGTGCTGGGATTAAAGGCGTGCACCACCACCGCCCGGCCCTTGATTTTTTTTTTTTTTTAAAGCCACAATTTGATGACACCTGGGTCCCAGATTCATCAAGAAAGTAGAATTAAGTTCGAGTATGAAGAAGCCATGGGGAAGGATTCTGGAAGTGAAGGGTAAGCAAGATGGAGCACAAGGGAGATGCTGGCCGTCCACTGGCTATCTTTCCACTGGTTCACCCAGCGCTTTCCTTTCCCTATGGAAAAATTCCCTTTGAGAGGATTTGGATATTATCGGGATGATGAGGAGGGAGTTTTCAAAACGTCTGTCCCTTCTGGCACTGAAGTTCTGGGACTCTGAGCTCGTACCAAGTTATGGCGTGACCCAGACTCAACAGATGAGCTGACCAGCAGAAACTGGGGGGCGGGGGGCGGGAGGCAAGTAATCTCTGTGGGGAGCCTTCGGGGAAGATGCCCTTAGCCCTGGGGTCTGGGGCTGCTCTCCTGTGTTAGTTCCTCTGCCCTGATGATGGTCATAATTATGGTTTTGGGAGCAGGGTGGCCTTGCAGGAGCAGACCATGGGGCCACCTGGCTTCCTGTTTCTTCTGGCCTTGGTGATCTCAGATGACTGGTGCCCATGCAATTAGACAAGGGCCTTGGTCTGTCCTCTGAGAGGAACTCACCGGCTTATCAGCAGCCAATGTCCTTGTGAGGCCACAAGTGGTCCTTGAGTATTTCCAGTGGAGAGAGTGGGGAAAAGCAACCTTGGCTGGGGTCGGGCCTGAGGAGAGCTGGTTCCCTTGGATGGGACTGAAGGGAGATGAGGGAGAATGTGGCAGGCTGCATCAGGTTTGGGCTTGCTGCTCCTCAGCAGCTGCTCACCACTTTCCAAGACAGTGGCTGTGAAGAGGATCCCACTTTGTTCCCATCTGCTTCCACGGTGACAGACACGAAGGCCAGCCTGAGAGGCGGTGGTACCTCCAGTGCAGCTAGGAAAAGCTTGACTGCTACCTGGAGGCTGGTGAACAGAGAAGGGGCGCCACACATTGAGAGCACAGCCTTCTGGGCTCTATCTAATCCCCAGAGTGATCTCACGCCCCGCCCCCTTCTCCTTACCAGGTCTCCCTGAAGGCTATTTGCTGTCATTCCTTTTTTTTTTTTTTTTTTTTTTTTTTTTTGCCTTTCTGCTAAATGTCTGGGTCTCTTTCTTGTCTTCATACCAGAAACACGCGATACCAGGTACATACAAGCATCTGCTTAGTGCTCCTGACCATACAGGACTGGGACCACTCCTGCTCTGTAAAGGAAGATGCAGAGGCTCCTCCAGGAGCAACTTCTTAGTTCTTACGGGGAGCCAGGATTCAATCCTCGATCAGGCTGGCCCTAACTTTTCCTTCTCGGCCATGCTCCCTCACTAGAAAATGACTGAGGGCAGAGCCAGACAGCAACGGGGGAATCAGAACAGAAGGCGCTGCTAAGGCTGGGCTGGCGTACAGCTAGAGCTCAGGAAAACGCTGTCACATGGATGAATGAGGAGCTCTGAACGGAAGGTTCGGGGACTCGGCATCTGGATTTGCCATGGATGGACAGATGCTCCACTTCAGGTGGGAAGCAGGTCCAAGGTCTGGTGACGCTGGCTCACAAGGGAGCTTGGAGAGAAGACTATCAGAGAACAGCTCTCGACCCATTGAAAGTGGAGATGAGGAAGGGGGGTAGAGCTATCCTGGCACAGCGCTCGGGCACCCGGCCCAGGCAGGGACTCAGAAGGTCTCTGTGTCTGTACAGAAGCCAAAGGATATTGTTGGGGCTTTGAGCTGGTGCCTGGAGGAAGACTGGTGCACCCAGGGCCCTCAGTGCACCTCAGGGGACTGGCCCATCCCACCCATTTGGACCAAGGCTACCTTGAAGAGGGAGGCACAAGGTGGGGGTGGGGGAAGACCCAGACCATGAGTTGCGTAGATCTCTGCGTGTCCAGAGATGGTGTGGTCCAGTGAGCCCGTGGAAACCACAGCGTGTCAGGGAGATGGAGGTCAGCTGGGAGGCAGCGCTCAGGCAGAAGGGCACAACACCATCAGGGAGATGGAAAAAGTGATGTCGTTAAGGAACAATGTGAGCCAAAGGAATGAGCTGTAACTGGCTGGATCTGAAAGGACAAGTGGGAGAACGGCTGCCAGACGCCCATGGGTGTCTGATGATGGCCTGCCACTACCCTTGGGAAGGGGCTGAGCCTCAGCCCCAAGGCTTAGATGGTCCTTCTCAGCCTCTAAAAGCAGGCCCTCTACCCCTTGGTCTGTTAATCGATGCATGATAAATCGAGTCTCAGCAGACCTGTCCAGAGTGCATGGCCCTGATTCTCCAGAGAAGATCCAATTGCCCAGCAGGAGGCTAAAGGGTATGAGTTCTTGGTTCTGCAGGGTGGTCTGAGTCCTCCCTCTACCCAGCATCCAAGAGGGGAATTCTTCCACGGAGAATGAGACAAGGAAGCCACTGACTTCAGGCCTCTGCTCCCTCCTTGGATAAGAGCTGTGAAAGACCAAGCCAACCCTCCAGCTCAAAAGTTAGCCCTAGGCTGAGGAGATCTGTCTGCGAGAGGACTCCTGGGTGTGGTGGGTTGTGGGAAGCCCGAGCAGGAGACTCATAGTGCTGAGAAGTTTAGAACCTATTATGAGTGGTGAAGGGAAGGTGTAGGGTGGAGCCTGAGCTGACCCAAAGTCTCCCCTAATAAATGGTGAGGAAACAGAGGGCTAGAGTGGGCCAGGTTAATATGACTCTAGCACGCGGATTTCACTGAGCTCAGCTCCCACTTTTGTTTCTTCATAAGAGAAATCTTTGCACAGCAGAGAAAAGGGGGCTCCCATGACGGTCAGAGTGCCCAGTTAGAGCAGAAACCTGCCTGGACTTTGGCAGTCTGGAGAAGCCAGAACACCCTTGTTCGTTGGAGTCAGTTTCTGGGACCATGATTACCGTGGATTGGGGCCCCTGTGAAGTGCAACATCTTCATGGGGGGGGGTCTCACCTGGTATGTGGGGACAAAGGAGTTTGTAGGTTTGAGGGAGTGGGGCTGTAAAAGGTAGCTGAACTCCAATGGCTCAACTGGGGGAGAAAAACGGCCACCCAAGGTGTCTGTCCATCTGCCCATGGGACTGACAGAAGTGTGCAGACTTCCTTATTCACAGGAGAAAGATGACTTACTCAGACAGTAGATGGAATGGCCGTGCCTTGTCATAGTCCCTATAATACTCTGTGGTCTCTCTCCCCTCTGCACACCTGGAGGTCCTTACAGAAAGTTGTGGTTGTCCCTCAGCTGCCAGGACAGGCCTCTCTAATGGTTCCCCTTATCAATCCTGTCTTGCCACCAGGGTCTGAGTCTTTTGTCTCTTGAGCCAGGCCAGTTATCTTTCCAACAGGAGGGAGAAGGACAGAAAGGGACACTTCTGGACAAAATCGGAGACAGAGCAGGGAACTGAGGCATGGAACTGGCCTGAGCCTAGGCCAGGTTCCGGGCATCCCCGTTCTCAGGTCTGCAATGCTGGGCTCTAAAGCTGCAGGGGAAGGCAGCAGGCCGAGAATCATTGCTCTGTGTCTTAAGCTCCCAGCTGGAACTAGGAACACCAAATCCTCTTTGAATAAAACAGAAAAGGATTAATAAAAATCAAGACATTAACCTCGTGAAACTGGACCCCCTCATTCCCACAAAGAGATTAAGTTCTTCCCCCAAGCTTTTTTTTTTCATTTCTATAAACATCTTAATTCATGCGGACATCACAGCCAGCCTGGATTACAGTTGGATGGAGAGGTGAATGGACTTGTCTTAGACACACACACAGACACACACACACACACCTGGAGCAGGGGAAAGGACAGTGAAGGAGATGCTGAAGAGCCAGGGTTTATTTCCAGAGTTCACTTTCCTCATCTGTAAATGGGGTAGTTAGCTTATACTTCCATTTTGTTCCCTCTGGGAACTCTGATGGTCCATTTCCTCTCTGCTGCAGAAAAGTCCACTCTCACCCATACCCGTGGTGGCACACCATGTCAACAAAGGTTCACTTCATCCCCAGCTCTGGATGCTATTCTCCTTTCTAGACCACAGGTTCCAGAAAGATGGGGACAAGCTGCCAGGGACAACAGGGGTTCCACAGGTATTGGTGAGTAAATGGACAGATAGTTCTGGAAATTGCTCTGTGAGTACACCTGGAATGGGGTTCAGGGTCTTGCCTGAAATAGAGTCACTCTCCTCTTGAGGTGGGGAACACCTGGCCTTTCTGGAATATTCTCCCTATTCCCTCCTGACTTCCGAAAGATTCTCAAAGCCTCATTTCTTTTGAAACCTTCCTTCGCCTTGCCAGCAGCATCACCCCAATCAAGCAACAGATTTTCGATGCACGTTTTCGGTTCTTCCTCCCACCTTCATCTGACAAGTCCAATCATTCCCATCCCTTGATTATGTTTTGGTTGGAGGCTGCAGCCAGCTGCGGTTATTCTCAACTCTGGGTGGCAGTGAAGAGGAGGGTCATTATGGGGGAGTCTTGCCTCAGTGGAGAGCAAGAGACAGGCACTGGGTTCCTCGACGGTTCGGGGGCTGGGGTAGAGGTGGAACTCTTACAGGTGTTGAGCGCTGGTTGGGTCAAAGGTCAGGGAACTCCCACTTGACTTTCATTTTGGTCAGCAGGCCTCAAAGTATGCTCAGAGACCAACGTCCCCTGAGGGGTTCTGTGGAAGAGAGAAGCCCAGGCTCAGTTATGTTTGCGGAGCTCAGCTGTTCTCAGCCTTTGATTGCAAGCTACAGAAGTCAACTCTCCTAATTTAAGCTCAGAAATGATTTATTCCGAAGACCTTAGATAGTTCAAAGAACCTTCTGTAGGAACAGGAAGCCAAGGTCAGAAAGGAAGCAGCCAGAAGCAACACTCAAGGTCACATAGTAGGACTGATCCCAGAAAGGCTCCATTGCCCTACAGACAGTTTTGCTTGGGCCACCAGCTCCGTCAGCACCGGTACGGCCTCTGTACCCACCACTACTGCCACCACTTCTGAAGATAGGCTGCCATGGCCGCCATTTTTGTGAAACACTTTCTGCAGAGGCCCTCCTTTTTCTGCACTTGGTTCTTCTGGGGGAAGGCAACTTACTGGTGGAGTGAAGTCATGGACCTGCCCCCTACATTCAAGAGAAGCTGGGGCAATGAATTGATCTTTCCAGCTCCCGTACCTGAAGGCAACCCCTGCCTCCGAACACAGGAGACATCTTCAAGCATGAGTGTGGTGGTTTGGATGAGAATGACCCACATGGGCTCATAGGCTTGAAGAGTTGGTCCCCAGTTGGTCAAACTGTTTGGGAGGGATCAGGAGGTTTGACCTGGTTGGAAGAGGTGTGTCACTGGGGTCGCGTTTCAAAAGCCATGTGCTATACCAGTTGAGCTTTGTGTTTCCTGTGTGCGAACTGAGACTGAGCCGCTGCTCTAGCTATTTGCTTTCTTGCTGCCGCAGCTCTGCCGTCTTGGACTCTAACCCTCTGGAACTGTAAAACCGAAATAAACTCTTCCTTCTGTGATTTGCCTTGGCTCTGGTGTTTTCTCGTAGCAATAAAAACCAACTATTTGGCCAAGGAGAGTGTGTGCTGGGTGGCCCAAAAGGATGAAGAACAGGCCCGGGGAAATGGCTCAGTAGGCAAAGTACTTGCCTTGGAAGCATGAAGAACTGAGTTCAACCCCAAGTTCCATGTAAGGCTTGGAAGCACGTATGTGCAAACACACTCCCGGGGAGGTGGAGGTAGCTGGACCCCGAGGCTCACAAGTAACCTATTTTGTTTTTGGAGCTTCAGGCCAATAAGAGACCCCGTGTATTAAGAGGAAGAAAATGGACATCTGAAGAATGACATTTAAGGCTGTCCCCCTGGCCTCCATACACACTCATGCTCACACAAAGAACACATCACCACACCTGGACCCTAGACATCTTCTTTGGGAACTCAAAGTGCCGTGGGATAGGGCTTTTCGACCTCAGTCAGCACCGCCGGTTTTCCAGACTGCTTGTTTCTTGGTTGTAGGCTAGCCTACACGTTATGAGGTTAGCAACTTCCCGTACTCTACTTCCTGCTGGTTGTTGCAGCTAAAAATGTCTGAACACATCAACAAATATCTTGTGGGGGACAGATTCCCTCCCAGCTGAGAACTGTCATTTATGAAACCTGCAGGGAGCTCGCAGTAATATATCTGAGGAATCAGGCTGGGTTTTCTCTGATATTTTTTTTTCCTAAATGTTTCCCCTCTGACATTCTGACTTTGTTTCATAGAAGTTACTTTAAGGGATGATGGCTGGCAGCTGGGACCTTGGCTCTGGTTTTCATGGGAGTGGGAGGTTGCACATACATACCGAATAGCACCCCACATACCGAATAGCACCCCACATATCGAATAGCACCCTGCGTCTTCTTGCCACCACCTTCCCCACCTGCTCTCTCCCTGCATAGCTTGGAGTCTCCAGGGGAGTCCAGTTTTGTGAACACCCAAGCTCCAGGGAGTTGTTTCTGGTGGGGGGGGGCACACCCAGGGTCTGGAGGAGGAAGCTATACAATGCCATTCAGCTTGTAGGCTTTGCTTTTCCCTTTGATTGTGACCTCCCCGCTGCAGGCACACGTATCACCCTGACTACCAAGAACGTGGCCTTGGAAACTCAGGGCTGTACCCTGTGGTTTAACAAAGATCCCACAAGGCTCACACATAAGCCCAGCAGGTTTCCAATATGAAGGCCTGGCCTTCTTGTCTGTATTTTACATTAGGTCCAGGCTCTTATTACTACTCCAGGAATACTCTAGTTACAGGGTCAAGTACATATGCTCCAGCATAGAAACCACCCCTTCCACTGAGATGAGGAGTACACAGGCCTTGTAAGAGCGGGACACCCCCACAGACCTTGCCTTAGAGAAAGAACTATTGGAGTTGCCACTTCTACCCCCGCATGACATGAAGAATGTGTCCCCACATGTTCGGCTGTCCATTGTGGAGATTGCTGTGACTCGGAGGTTTCCTTGCATGGATGGCTCAGTCCTTGCTTGCATCTTTGAATGTCTTTTGTGTGTCTGATAGTCCTTAAGCCTGGGAAATGGGTACAGTGAGAACAGAATTGCATCCGAGTTAGACGAAGCCATGTTTGGCCGACTTTGGACACTTTCTCTCTGAACTTTACTTTCATTATCTGTAGATTTTTTTTTAAAAAGCACCTCTTCACTTTTCCACCCCAAGAATTCTGTATTTTAGGTTCTGACAGGTCCTCATGCTCTGTGCCCTCAGGTGTGTATCCACCAGGCAGAAGAGACAACTGGAGTAAAAGGGAGAGGGGGTGGGGTGGGGAATCTGAAAAGGCCTTGGATCCCAACCAGACAGAGAGGATGCGCCAATGGAAAATTCCTGCTGTGTGTCAGAGGCCCACCTGGCCCGGGTGACAGCCAGCCAGACACCCAGGCCCCAAGCCCCACGACATGTTTAGATAGCATTTTCCTGCCCCAGTTAGAGTTCCCTCTGACCCTCAGCAAAGCTTCTCTTGTGAGGTGGGCTAGGCTGGAGTGCTTGCCTGGGCTCAGGGAAGTGACCTAGGTTCAGGTTCTAGAGCTAGGTCCGAGCGTGGAGAGAAAGCTTTGCCGGAAAGAACAGGCACTAGCAGGCTCAGGGTAGGGCCAGGTCAGCACTGAGTATTTTCTGTGACCCAGGAATGGCCATATAAAGAGTCCTTACGAGCCCAGGGGTCCATTGCGTAAAGCTGCAGTCTCTGGGGGATTCCTCTTTAGTGTTGGGAGAGGCCAAGGTCTTTAACTAGAAGGTAATGGGGACATTTCCAGTTGAGATTGTCTGGGTCTCGCAGGACCCTTGGGTCTCAGGGTATGACACTTTCCCAAGTTCATTCCTAAATTCCATATCTTTGACTCTATGAACGCTCCAGAGACCACGTTGCGTTCTATGATGTAGGCTCAGCAGACCACTGGTCCTGATCACAGTGGGTGGGTCCCTTAGATTTTACACAGTTCTTATACTCCTGGCCCTTTCTGTTTGGGGACCAGAACTAAGCAGAGGTGGCCTAGGGGCAGGTCTGGAACAGTCTGGGTGAATCAATGAGCTGCAGGTTCATTGAGAGATCCTGTCTCAAAGAAATAAGGTGGAGGGCGATAGGAAAAGACATCTTCTGGCCTCCACGTGCACACACTCACACATTCACTTGTATACATACTACCTACCTTCACACACACACACACACACACACACACACACACACACACAATGCACCACACAACCTGCACTGGGCTGGAACACGTTGGTCAAGATGAACTCATGATGTAAATACTTTTCTCTTGTTTGACTGACCCGGGATTCTGACAAGGCCCAGTTTGCAATAATAATCATTACCCCATGGTTACGTATGTGGGAAGTCTCTTGATTAACCTGGGACCTGTCTGACTGGACTCCTACCCCATACCACTGGCTTACCTGTTCTGAACCCAGGTTTCCACAGGGAGACTCTTCTCAGAGACCATTAACGTCCAGTCTAACAGCAACAGGCGAATCCCCAGGCCACCTGACTCCTAAAGCCTGCTCCCTTAGGGGCTGTTGACTTTGTGTTTTTAGATTGTTCAGATCACTTCCCAGGAATATATTTAAGGAAAGATCTGGACTTTATCACATTTAAGACAGGGCAAAGACAAACCCTAGCCCCAGGGCTCACTCTCGTTGGGCCTTCTATGAGCCCATGTCATAGGGATTTCCAGGCCCCCTCTCAGCCTCCCAAGCCTTCCTCCTATGGTTAGAGATCTTTCTCATATCCTCCCAGAAGGAATGGTCTCCTGTCAAATCCCAAGTCTGTACTTCCTAGCTCCAGGTCAAAAACGCTCTGGAGAGCCCCAGCTGTCCAGTGAGTAAACTCCAGGCTACCTGTCCTCCCGAGGCCAGCATCCAACCCATCTTTCTCCTTCTTTAGCTTTACAGTCTGTGATTTTTCCAGTTCCACAACCTTACAGCATTCCCCAGGAGCAGAAAATCTAGATATCTTTCTTATCTTTGCTGAAAAAACAATCCCTGTCACACTCTGTATCTTTGAGATCCTAGAGAATCCAGGATGACTGAGGTGGAAGTGGGAGCACAATTGTGAGATTGTGTGTGTGTGTGTGTGTGTGTGTGAGAGAGAGAGAGAGAGAGAGAGAGAGAGAGAGAGAGAAGGAGATCATGTGACTTAGGGTCAGGCCCATCCTATTAAAGCCCACTATCTTCGTGAGGTTTCAGCTTCATTATCCACTTGGCAGGATTTTGGAACCACCTAGGAGACACACTTCTAGTTATACCTGAGAGACTATTTCCATAGAGGTTTAGCAGAGGCAGAAAGATCCACCCTAACCATGGGTGGCACCCATCCCATTGGCTATTTGAACTGAATAGAAAGGGAAAACAGGAAAACAGCCAACCAGCAGCGTTCATTTAGTTGGGCTTCCTGACTGTAGCTGTGATCCTCAGCCTCTCACCCCTGCTGCCACAGCTAGAGCCACTCATGCTTCCCACTGTGCTTTCCCCTGCGGTGATGTATGGTAGACAGCAAGAAAAAGTGACTAATGCAGTCTCCTTACAGAAGTCCTTAAAGATCCTGGCCTCTGGCAAAATTACCCAGACGGAGTTGATGAGGGCCCAAGTCATATTGGAGAAAAGGACACGACTTCCAGGAACCCTGGGCTATGTGGGAGGACCCTTTCCCCCCCCTTGCTTCTTGAATACCAAGGAAGAGATGTTGGTAATCCCAGCACTTGGGAAGTAGAGGCAGAAGGATCAGGAGTTCAAGCCTAGCCTTGGCTACAAAGCAAATTTGAGGCCAGCCTGTGCTACATGGAAAATAAGCCCAAAGCAGTGGTTCTCAGCCTGTGGGTCTCAAACTCTTTGGGGTTGCATTTTGGATATCCTATATGTCAGAAATTTACATTATGATTCATAACAGTAACAAAATTACTGTTACAAAGTAGCAATGAAGTAATTTTGTAGTTGGGGGTCACCATAACATGAGGAACTGCATCAAACGGTTACAGCGTTAGGAAGGCTGAAAATCACCGTCCCTAAGGATAAAGAAACAGAAAAGAAACTGAGCCCCGAGAGTCTTTGCTGAAGGCAGAGTTGGAAGGCAGCTTAATCTCACAGATGGGTCTGGCCTTGGTGGAATGATGTTTAAAAACAATCATCAAATCATTGACTTTTCCAGGGTGTTCCTTTGGTCTTGCGGCTCAGGACATGCCCTGATTTATAGGGCACAAGGCTCCAGCAGTTCTGAGGAGGGTTCTGGCTTTTTGCAGAGCTGGAACTCATGGGAAAAGGCGGAAGTAAGGGACTATGCTGGAATGTTGGGGGTCATGGGACAGAGTTGAGGGGGGCACAGACCCTTCGTCAAAGGGTGGGTGGGACGGGAGTCCTGTTTCTTGTCACAAAGTTCGGCCGTGTTTGTCAGAGTCAGAGAGAGACCCGTGTGCTGGTCACTCACTCCGTGAACAAACAAATACATAT